TACCCACTCAGTAAGGTGCGTTTAGGCCTCTTAAACAACATAAGGATGTAGGAATCGGTCCCAACCATGGGAGAAGAAAGGTGAACAGATTCTGTGGACCACAAAGCCGCTAAGTAGAAGGAACCACACAGATCACTGAACAGTCCCTCACTCTGCAGTTAAATGTAGTCAGAAAAGTCTCTATTGGTGTGGGTAGGTACATTGAGTGGATTCCTAGCCTGCTGGTTTGAAGGCACACTTCCATACTCCCCATGGCTGGAACTCAGCTAAGATGTCCTTCTATTGCTCTGGTTTGACTGACTGACAGCCAATGCTGCCAAGGGACAGATGTTAAATACAGAAGGAAGAACACTAGAAAGCAAGTCCTCCTCCGGGCTTGCCCCACCTCCCACATAAAAACAAACGGCTAGACATTAGACTCTGGAAGGGAGAACTGGTGGCTTCTCTTCCCCGAGTCCCAAGAGGTCTTGAGAAGAAAGCCTATGCCTCTGAATTGTATTATATCGCCTATGTGTTATGCCAAGAAGAGCAGAGATCCTTCAACCCCCGTGAGGCTGGAAATTCAATTTGACTCATTACAGCAATGTGGTCTTCATTTGTTTTCAAAGCAGGCAAATCAGTGAGTGGGCTCTATTCCAAATGACTTGATGTTATGACACCCTTTAAAGATGATATAACTGGTACAGATCCTAAAATGCCCAGATCTCATGCAGCTCAGTGGGCTTCCATTCTAACTGACTTGGTGTTATGATACCCTTAAAAGATGATATAGCCGGTACAGATCCTAAAATGCCCAGATCTCTTGCAGTGCACAGTCACTGTCAGTAGGTGGCACTTGGGATGTGTCTGTTGTTGCCTGCCTCAAGGTAATAAGGCTCAGCATCAAAATTTGCAGAATGGCTGTCAGTCACTTAGGAGAAAATTCTGGAAGTGACAGGAATGTGCTTTTCAAGAATGTCACATCAACACCACAGCACAAAGGATGATGGGACTGCTTGGGAACGCATGGAAAGGGCAGCTCTAGGTCAAGTGGACGGTTCAGAAGGCAGGCTCAGTCAAGTTCTAGGCATCCTCATGGTATCTGAGCAAGTGTGCTGGGACATGCCTTTAGCCCCAGCTAGGGATGCTAGGGCTATGGACCCAGAGAACCCATCTCAAATACACATCTGCTGGAAGACAGTCAAAGCTTTCAGTGATAGGAAAAATCTAAGTGGGGGCTGGAGAGACAGCTCACTTGTTAAAAACGCTGGCCACACTTCCAGAAGGCCCAGGTTCAATTCCCAGCACCCACATGGTGGCTCACAGCCATCTGCAACTCCACATTCACGGGTCTGACAACTGGCCTCCGAGGGCACTAGGCCTGCACACACACAGGCTGCCACACTCTTCCTGATGGTTCAGAAGACAAGGGAGCATCTTCTAACTACCAGTGGCTCGGGTTCTGCACAACACATGGCCCTCCTCCTGAGTCCAGGGCTGGGGACACCTGGGAAGCTGTGTCTGGGTGGCTACTAGGCAGATCAGAGCAGCCACGCTGTCTTCCTCTCAGCACAGGTCTCAGGCCAACATGCACAGGAAAAGAAAACTGGTGTTATTATTTTGATTTTTCTTTAATTTGGGCAACTTTAGAGGCAATTTTAAAATCTGAAGAGTAAGCCAGCAGCACGCTTTCCATCCCTTGACTTTCCTGTGTAAACTAGCTGCACTGGCGTCACTGCTGTTCGTGCTCTCCTGGTATCGGCACTGCAAGGCCACCCTGCTCTATAATGCTAAGCCACCCTAATCATCCCCTGCCACCAGACACTCATGTTTATTTTACTTTATTGAAGTTTATCCATTTCTTGGGGTACTATCCCAAAAGCAAGCTTTTATAGCTATCACACTGTCCGCCCAGATTACGACATGAAGAATATAACATAATGAAATTAGTGACTTAAAAGTACATGTCTTCCCCTCAACAGTGAAATCAATATTCGAACATTTTTTTTTCCTATCAGAAACTTGATAAACAAGTGTTTCCTAGCTCCATCCTGTAGTGCACTGAGCCTCACTGAAGTGTATCACTCAGGCCTACACTGCCAGCCTAACGTAAGTGAGCCCCGCCCTCCTTCCAGGCAGGATTCTACGTACTGCATGTTAGTGGAGATGAGAGTATGACGCCTGCTTACAGGGCTCCCGGTCAGTGGTGGGTCACATCTGCCTCAGGGAAACGCTAGCACAATTCCTGTGGGTGCAGACGGACAGCAGGACAAAGAATCATAAAACAGCACAAACCCCATCTGGTCCCCAACACAGCACTAACAAATTTGCTCTGTTTTCACATTTGCCCTTTTAAGCCAGGCACATACATAAATTTCAGGAGGCTGAGGCAAGAGGAACGCCCAGGTCCATACTAACAGTGAGTTGCGAGGCCTCCCAGTTTGGGAAGAGAACACGGATAATGGCCCCATTTCCAATCCTGGCCTTGCTCTGAGCTGTCCCTTCTGCAAACGGGGGTCTGGGAGTAGCTACCCTGTGCTCATTTATGCAGTCCCCTGGCCTCACACATTAGGTTTCAGGCTCTGAGCCAAGAAGTGGACATTTGGGGAGGCAAGATCAGCACTTGAAAAGGGAAGGCTGCCACAGACCCAGTGCAGGGATTTCCCAACCCTGATTATTCAACAATGGCTGGGCCACAAGGAAAGCAGGGACTCTGGGCAACCTTTAAAGCAGTGGTCCTCAACCTGTGGGTTGCAATCCCTCAAGGTCACAAATATCGGATATTTACATTACGATTCATAACAAGTAGCAAAATTATAGTTATGAAGTAGCAACGAAAATAATTTTAGAGTTGGGGTGACCACAATATGAGAAAGGGTCACAGCGTTAGGAAGGTTGAGAACTATTGCTTCTGGAGAGTCAAACTTAGGCCAGAAAGGACAAAGTATCCAAAGCATTCATTTCAGAGGGCGCTAAGGACGATCAGCCAGTGTTCTCATGGGGTCATGGGAAGAGGGCTCCCCAGCAGGAGCCAGGACATGTAACACATACTGCAGCCAAAGCAGCGTAGTATCCCATCCCCGTGACAACAGCAATAGACAGAGCAGTCTAGATAAACCCAAGGGTACAAAGCCTCAGAACATCTGAGAAATCAATCCCTGGGAGCCAGAGATGAGGACTTAGCTTCACCCTTGCATTCACAAAGGTCTGCTAACTGTTCAACCTCTGACCTAATCCAATCCTCCCAAAAGCAGTTTAGCAAGAAGCTGAAGGCTGTACAGACCGTCCACCACTCAGGGCAATCAGTGAGATGGTACAGACAATCTTCCACCACTTAGAGCAACTGGGAGACAGTACAGACCGTTTTCCACCATTCACACACAACCGCAGGTGCCTCTTGATGTCAGCTTATGACAAAAATCTCCAAGAATAGACTTCTTGTCATTTGTTAACAGAGTAAGTTTGAAGGCTCATCTTACTTAAACGTTTCCTGTTCACTTAGGGCTTCCATTCACCTGGGTTTTTTTGCTATTGTTTGGTTTTGTTTTTTGAGGTGGGGGTGGAGACAGGGTCTCTACATAGTTCTGACTATCCTGGGGCTAAGCACACCAGGCTGGCCTCCAATCGAACTCAGATCCACCTTCCTCCATCAGCATACTTGTAGTCTTAAGCTATGAAGCTCCCTGTGTTTGTGCTGCTGTAAGCAGGCAGCTCAGGAAACAATGCATACTGGCCCCATTTTGCAGTTTCCTCAACATGGCACCTGGAACTTTTCTCAACTGCTAACATCAACCCAAGGAAGGAAGTGTGAGAGAAGCCCATGTCCATGAAATTTCTCCAATCCCAGCACTTGTGGCACACACTGTTGTATGCAGTACAACTGGGGACGAGCTCCTGGGCCCAGGTAGGTACTCCATGCCCTGTTCTGTCCTCTCTGCTCTCCTGTGGGGTCCGGAGCACTCCCAAGCTCCCCGCGGAAATGGTGCACTACTAGAAACGTGCACGAGTAAGGCATCGCCTGTGGCCGCAGTCTTCTCATTTCACACCTGTTTGCATCACACATCCCATGTGGAAGAAGACACTGAACTGCCTTTGTATGCTCTTTTCTCATAGCACAGCAAGAACCAAATAAAGAAAACTTGGCCTTTTTTTTCTGTGAAATTTATTGTTTACACATTAAAAGAATTTTTTGGAGGGAATTATTTTCTTTTAACCACATGATGATTCTATACAGCTGCCCAGAGTAGGACACCATCGTAAGTCATTAATTAACATGCCATATGAGTCTGAATAAATAAAAGCTACAAAGCCCAAGTTATATACAAATATCTTAGGCAATAATGTTTACAAACCTATGTACAATAAAACAAATGTAAACAGTAAGTGCAGCGTGAGAATGACCAAAGGGTGCAAGGGACAAACACTTCTGGCCAGTCTGCCCCAACTGCTCGCACCAACCTGCCCCAGAATCAGGCCCCTCAACCCTTCCCAATGCAACTGGACAGACCCTTCCGAAGAGAAAACAAAATGCTCTAAGAGATGTTACTGAACTGAGGGATCGGAAAGCTGGCGAGAAGGTTGCCACCCGCTTCCTGAGTCTGAGGCACACAGAGGCTCAGCCCTGGAGTGCCTAGGTCCCAGATGCCCCTGCCTCCTGCATCTTGCTGCTTTGAGAGTAAGCCAATGTGGAATGGGCTCCTTACAGAAAGTCAGAAGGTACAGGATGGTCTGAACTGTAGGTGAGATGGGGGACACATGATTGTGAGCACTAAAGATGCTTGGCTGGGAGCTTAGAAGGGTCTTGTCAACCTGATTGAGGAGAACTTCTAGAAGATCTGCAATGTCCTAAACACAACTAAATCCTATCAGCACAGCAAAATGGGGCTATGAGGCAGATGGATGAACGGGTACTTCCACATCCAGTGATCGAGTAATACATGTATGTATCACTTGTGACCCACAAAAGTGCAATCATGTGAAACCAACGGCACTACGGCAAGAAGAGAAAATAGCCAGTATTGATATCGCGCAGAGTCCTGGGGCTGGGCAGGGCCCAGCAGCCGCCACTGCATGCAGCCTGCCCTCTGCCAGCGGTGGAGAGGCAGACAGGGGCACAGGGCTGGACCCAGGTACCGAGGGACGAGGCGTAGGTGTCCTGGGCTGCTGGAAGAGGGCAGGGGCCCCACCTGGAGACCGGGCACTCACACACTGAGAGGCAGCATACCGGGTGCTGAGGATGGCCGCGAGGAGCCCAGCCCAGGAGGGGGAGGAGCTGGATCGAAGCCGTTTACCGCCCTGTGGGGTGATCAGAACAGCAAGGGAAGAAGAGAAGAAAAAGAGGCTCATGTAAAATCACTCTACACACAGGAAATTAGCTGATTTCTGTAACTAGTTCTCTCCCCTGCCCACAGTAAAATCCTGAATCCCAAGTGGTTGCCCAGAAGGCACTAGTGATAAGAGAATGGACAGACAGTTCACAGTCCTGGGGTACTGAGGCCACACACCCCTTTCTAGGCAACTCTGTCATATGGGCCACTATCACATTCCTGATTTTTTTTAAACCATCAAAAAGTCTAAATGTCAATAGAGAGCTAGTTAAATATACAACAAAAAATGAAATATAAATACAACTATTAAGAATGTAACTTACAATATTTTTAATAGCAAGGGAAAATATTCAGTATGTATTTAATGATACAAAGAAAAAGAAGTAAGCTACCCAAACTGCCTATGTTTAGTGTGACATTAAAAAAGAAAATGTAAGCAGTGTATAGCCTAGATTCTATTCTATTCCAGCCTTTTACACAGACACTATGGATTAATATAGTTAAGTCTAGATTGAAAAACTCTTTAGACACACACACATAAATATAAAACACGTGGATTATATTACATATACACATATACGTAATGGAATCATCTATATCATAGAAGGAAATTTTAACAAAATGTATTCTCTGGGTTGTAGATAAATTTTACTAGTTTATACTTTATTATTTTACAAATCTATTGCAATACCAGTATCTTAAGAAGAAAAAAAAATAATGTTTAGCAAGCAAAGCCAGATAAGAGTTGGGGTTTTTTTTGTACCTATACACGGCAACCCAGCTCCACACAAGCACCAACAATCAGGCACACCCAGCAAGGTGAAGAACCCCCAAATCCACCCATCAGCATGCAGCCACAGGAAGCGAGGGGAGGGAAAAGGAGAGGGAGAAGCACAAGATCTCAGGAGACAATTTCAGCCTTTCTAGTTTAAGACACGTCTCAGGCGAATCCATCCTATTAGCAACACTGAGGGACCACACCACACCATTCTTGCCCACCGCTGTCATCCACTTGCTTGTGGAAGGATCCAAGGAGTCGAACACAGACTCAAAAAGAGACATTCTCTAAAAAGTGAGTCACATATTCCCTGCAAAGACCCCTGGTTCATAAACAGTCACCAATGGCACAAAGAAACAGACATGCAGAGGGTCTTGATATAGAACCCCAACTAAATTCAGGAAACAGTTCATGTATCAAGAGACTGAACACAGCTCATACCTGGCAATCAAGCTATACACAGAAACCAAGAGCAGTAGTTCGACTCCCCAGCCCCAGCCCATGCTTTGTTCTACTTCTGTGCTAAACAGCACTTTTCTCTCTTTACATCTTCCCTGAAAGCTGCATGCCTATGCTTCTCCTGAGGCCTAGGACCACAGTCTGTTTGCCAGGACAGCACTTGCCTCACAGCCCCATCTGTAGTTTGCCTATGTAGACCCAGAGGTCCCAATACTCTCCGACAACCACAGGAAGAACTACACGAGACCTACTGTCCAACACATGAACCTCCACCCCTGTCCTTCGCAGGGGCAGGCAAGCTACACTACAGAAAGCCTCCAACTCATCACACAGGAGCACACTGTAGGTTGCCAAGAGTTTGTCATAAGGTCAACTGGGATGTGCAAAAGCAGCAGTCACCAAGGAACAGTGCAGGACAAAATTAAATGTACTTTAAAGTAGCATCAAGTTCATTTCCATGGTTACAGAGGAAATCAAACCAAGAGAAGATCCAGTTATTAGCCCAGCCTCACCAACGGAGCTATTATTAGTGACTTATTTAGCCCCAACTACCTCTGGGTATCCCACCCTTTCCCAGCCTCCTCTATTCCCAGGCTGCTCAGGAGCCCTCAGTGAGCAGCCACTTCCATGCTCCAGGACACAGGTGGGTCTAGTGGGTCTAGTGACGTCTCTGTGTGGTGGGAGAACTCGGAGGTGTGTTGGGCAGAGGGTCTTATCTAGCACTTCTTTTCTGAGTCAGACGAAGGAAGTTAAAAGCAGAGGAAAAGAAAGTCAATCACCTCTGGAGAGGCCCCTTCAAGAAACTGTAAAATGTATTCAATGAAGAAGGTTCCCAAGGAGAAAAGCCTTCAAATATACCAGGTGCAGATGTAGAGAGATAAATGCCCAGTGAGTCACACAAAGTTAAATGAAGGGCATATGCAGGAATAGAGACAGCTCTGGGAATCAAATATGCAGAAAGAGGCTCCAAGCACGCTATTAGTGAACTCACACCCCAAATCTAGCTAAGGTAAAACTGACTTCACCTCCAGACAGGCGCTTTAGCATCGGAAACTGCACCACTGTGGTCAGTCAGGAGGGCTATCATCTAACAGTACAAAAAAAGCAAGGCTTACTCCAAAACCACAGAGAAACCCTGTCAAAAAAAAAAAAAAAAAAAAAAAGCAAAGCTTAGTCTGTCAAGCAAGATAAAAGCTCCTGAGAGGGCGGGCAGTAAGGAGGAAGGAGGGCAACTTGAGCTGACTCGCAGAACAGGACAGAATGGACATCCAGAGCCAAGTCTCCCTGTGAGTAAACAGAACACGAAGCAGTCCCAGGTCTCTACCCAGGCTATGCCAAACAGTTCAGAAAGGGAAGGTAGAGTCTACACACCTTCCATTTACCAGCCCCAGTTTAATACGAAAACACAAAAGCGAGTGCAGAAGAAGGGAGTTCATTATCACCAGCTTCTGAAAGGGGAACGGATGCAGAAGGGACCTGTCCCCATGAAGACAGTGAGATGTAATCCTGGAGCCTATTATCACCTCCAACCCTCAACTCAGACACTACCCTGCCCTAGAGCAGGGAATGCCACTCAGGACCACGACATTGGTCTAACTTTGCTGAAGAGCTATCTCACTCACCCTTGCCAAGCTGGCTTCACCATCTGAGCTCAAGCCACCTTCGACCTCAGTCACCTAGCTGAGCCCACAGGCACACACTCCTGGTGGGCTGTTATCCCTGCACACAGAACTACAGCAATGGTGTCATCAAGTCAGACAGGGCCTTGAAAGCTCACTCACGGGCTAAAAGTTGGTTAAAGCCGAGTCAGCCCCATGCAGTTAGTAAACCAGTGTGTTAATGTGTCTTCCACCACACAGCATCAGTAAGACAGAGAAGAGAGCACAGCAAACAAATTGAGTTACCCATGAACAACGTGGGAAATATGACTTTTTCTTGCCTAATAAAAAAAAAGGAAAAATCATTAAAAGGCAATACAAACACTATTTTCACATCGGGCCCTGAAATGAGCCCACACCTACCTACATATGACCCAGAAAAGCCTGACTGGTGGACCCACCATCTGTACCATGTGCAAGCAATGCATATGAAACCAGATTCAAGTTATGGAAGAAAAAACGTTTGAGAGCACATTCAAGTAACACACAAATTGCACACAAACTTAGTCTGGAATATAAAGAATATCAGTGGTGGAGAAACTAGGGTGATCAGGCACAGCAGCCTGCATCTGAGGGGCTGGCAGAAACCTCAGAGGGCACTCCTGGTTCTAAGAAGTCCTCAAATAACCATGATCTGCAAACTCTTCTGACTCAGTTAAGGCCATGCACCCAGTACACTGCCTCTGAAGGATTTGAACACATTCAACCCTCCCAAGAAAATCCCCGACTGTCTGCAGTCACACTAGTGAGCTACAGCAGAGACTGCTCAGGAACAGGGGCAGCAAGGCAAACCCACAGCCCAGGTTCACATGTTCAAGACCCAAGTCACACGTCTACAAAGACTGGCTTTTCTTTGACAAATCAGAATATTAACAGTGTATCTACAAGTCATGCTATTGCCCTTTCCTCTTACAGCTGGTACACAACCATCTTGGATTTTCCCTAGTCAACAGGTTAAAAGCCAGGGTGACCACAGACAGCCAGAATGAAAGCAAAGCAGCAGGAAGCAGTAGCACAGCCAACCCCGCAGAGCAGTGAAGAGCGGACTCCTGAAGAACTAGCAAGTTAACACTGCACCGTGTATCCACAAGCCACTTGTTAAATAAAGACAAGAGACAATCCATAAAAGCATATTTCATTGTTAGTAGAAACAGTACAACATAAAATTTTCGTAATTTAAGACAAAACACAAACAGCAACTATCTGGTTCTTTCAGGAAGCACATTCTCCTTTATTCAGTTCAGGAAATAGGGGAAACAATGCATCTAGCTGTTTCTGGGGGCAAGAGTTTGGGTAGAATTCCAGACACTCCTCTTAGTGTACACTGAGGCTCCACATCCAAGGGCAGGTTCATCATCTCTGAGCAATGCCTGCCCTGGTACTCTGGGACGGGAGGCAAATACCAGAGAGCAGAACGCCTGAGTGAGTTTATTCCTTCCTCACTATGACTACCTGCCAGCACTTTCTACACAAAGGTCCCTGCCTAACCAATCCATCTCTGGTCCACGTCTCCTCTCACACTGTAAGATGCTGCCTGCAGACCATCGAAAAATATGATTCCAGAGACAGAGAGAATCTAATAACTACTCTACTAGAGTAATCACAATTTTTCAACACTCTTGAAGACTTCCTCTAAACTTTCTCTGTATCATTCAGGGAATGGCTAGTCTAATGAGAAAATGCCTGTCCATGTCATGTTGTTCCAGACAGCTCAAAAATGGGTACTCCCAAGCCTGATGAAAGTTAATTTTATACTTAGCCCACCTGGGGAACCCTAAGAGATAGAACAGAGTTCTGACTTACACACTGCTATTTTATAAGGTGCTTTTAGTAGGAGGTCCTTGTTGTAACGGTCAGGATAGAAATGCCAAAAGAAACAGCAATAGACTGGAACATTCCATTACAGGGGCAAACAATAAAACTCTTAAAAGTAGACTGTAACCAAGCATGGTGGCGCACGCCTTTAACCCCAGAACTCGGAGGCAGAGCAGGAGGATCTCTGTGAGTCTGAGGCCATCCTGGTGTACTTAGTGAGTTCTAGGACAGCCAGGGCTAGACAGAAAAATCCTGACTCAGAAATAAAAATAACAGAGTAGAGTATATAGACAATCAGGTCTTCCATAAACAAGCTCTAACTAGAGCTGTTCCTGCATTGTTGGTGGTTTTAAAGCTGCCTCTTCCACTCACAAGACACAATGGCAAGGGACGATGAGCACATCAGCTGCTGTTCCAGGAACAACTACCCAAGGTAACAGACTGATTATAGGTCCCATATTCCTATATTAAGTCACACCATAACAAGAAGATAACCAGGCATTTTAGAGAGAAAACAAGATAAAGCAGAATGAAAGGTACTGACATAGAAAGATACTGGCAATGTAAGTGAAAACATGCCAGTTACCAAGTAATATTCAAAGTGTACTCTTATAGATATGCTGTAAGAAGCTTCTAGCAGACGCATAAAAAATCTGCTCTGGGGGGCTGGAGAGATGGCTCAGCGGTTAAGAGCATTGCCCGCTCTTCCAAAGGTCTTGAGTTCAATTCCCAGCAACCACATGGTGGCCCACAACCATCTGTAATGAGGTCTGGTACCCTCTTCTGGCTAACTGTATAAATAATAAATAAATAAATAAATAAATAAATAAATAAATAAATAAATAGAAGTTAGTCTCTGGGAGATAGCATATCATAAAAAAAAAAATCTGCTCTGACGTGTCTGCAAATTAGCTCTAAGAATGACAAAATCGTGCAACAGCAGAGAACTTATTTTCACTGCACATACTTCTATGCCACTGCTTCAAGCCTAAAAGCTTTATAAAATTTAAACACATGCATACACACACACCTCTTCCCTTTTGTTTTGTTTTGGTTTTCTTTTTTCTTTCCTTTTTGAGACAGTCTCGCTATGTAACTCTAGCTGGCTGGAAATTCACTAGGTACACCACGCTGACCTTGAATTCTGATTCATATGTGAGCCAGTGTCTAAAGACTGCAGGACTTTGTATTTTTCCAAACTATTCAAATAAAAGGTTTGTTGTACAACCTGAATATAATTGCAGTGTTCTCCCTTTTCCTTAAAAGAAAATTTGCTGAGTTTCCCAAGCTGTAAGCACCCAGAAAGCAGGTCCACCAGAGCCCTGCATATTTGCCTGAGCCCAGCACGGGTGCATTTAAGAGTCTAACCCCAGGACAGACACCGCAGATTCCAGAGGCAGCAAACTCCTTGGGGACCAGAAGACAACAAATCTCTATCCTCTGGGATTTGAATAGTAAGATGATCCCAGGGAGCCCAGCAGTGGTGGTGCATACCTTTAATCCCAACACTCAGGAGGCAAAGACCGGCAGATCTCTGTGAGTTCAATGCCAGCCTGGTCTACAGAGAAACCCTGTCTCAGAAAAGAGAGAGAGAGAGAGAGAGAGAGAGAGAGAGAGAGATAGAGATAGAGAATATTTGTCAACTTGCTGGATGGTGGTAGTAGACGCCTTTAATTCCAGCAGTTCTGAGTTCAAGGCCAGCCTGGTCTAAAGAGGTAGTTCCAGAACAGGCACCAAAGCTACACAAAGAAACCCTATCTCAAAAAAACAAAAAAGAAAAAAAAAAAATTGGGGCTGGAGAGATGGCTCAGAGGTTAAGAGCATTGCCTACTCTTCCAAAGGTCCTGAGTTCAATTCCCAGCAACCACATGGTAGCTCACAACCATTTGTAATGGGGTCTGGTGCCCTCTTCTGGCCTGCAGGCATACACACAGACAGAATATTGTATACATAATAAATAAATATTAAAAAAAAAGAAAAATTTGCAATCTTACTAAAATTACCAGTGATTACAAGGATTGGAGCTGTAGTTCAGTGGTAGAATAACTGTCTGTCACTCATGAAGCCCTAGGTTTTGTACAAGACTTACCCTTTATGGAAGAAGGTTGCACGCCCTGACCTCGGGCACTCTGGGCCATTGCTATTCATCACCCCACAGTTAACGCTCCCTGGGATATAGGGTTTGCGTGATGCTTGGTCTTTTGCGAAGTTCCTGCAAGCTGCTAATTTGGATTCTAAAGCCTACAAAGAAAGAAGGAATGGCTGTCAAAACATTGGCCATACAAAAAACATCTACATCTCAAACCATTTCTATTTCAGGCTTCAGTCCTTAGCTTCCAGGATAATGGTTGTTAGTTAAGCCACAATCATTTGTCTTTCTAGTAGAACAAGGAATATTTACATTGACCCCCTTTCTCTGTGTTCACTGAGGGACACAGATAAAATCCACACCTTACAACTAAGAAAACCATGGTACCAGTAAGGAGAGAAAGACCCAGATCTTGCAACCCATCCATTATTTGTTAAGTTCTCTAATACTGGTTGAGGTTGAGTCTTTGTGCATTTGTGTAGCAAGCACTTAAGAATGCTTTTGGAATAGTCTACTCTTTATATAGGTCCTTTTTTTTAAAAAAATATTTATTTATTTGTTATGTATACAATATTCTGTCTGTGTGTATGCCTGCAGGCCAGAAGAGGGCACCAGACCCCATTACAGATGGTTGTGAGCCACCACGTGGTTGCTGGGAATTGAACTCAGGACCTTTGAAAGAGCAGGCAATGCTCTTAACCTCTGAGCCATTTCTCCAGTCCCCTTTATATAGGTTCTTAAGTCTATTTTTCCACTGCATCAGACAGATCTATTTCTACTCTTATATAAAATAAAGCCATTTTCTTCTTTCCACATTTTGGATTTTATTATTTAATGTATGTGTTTTTGCCTGCCTATCTATCTGTGCACCACTTGGGAGCCTAATGCCTACAGAGGGTGTTAGATCCCCTGGATGAGTTAGAGATGGCTGTACACAAGATGTGAGCTGGGACTTGAACCCAGGTCCTCTGGAAGAGCAGCCAGTGCTCTTAGCCACAGAGCCATCTCTCCCAACTGAAATGAGGTCATTTTCTTTGGCCAGCATACAGTAAACTGTATACTTGATACCTTCTGTCTATAATTAATTCTCCTGTAAATGATAAAGGCCCTTTTCCATTTCCTCTACATCTAGTATCCTTCTTTGCACCCGTCACATGCATGCTCCACCAGCAAACCGATCATGTGAAAAAGAGGAACTTTTCATTTTTCCACAATTGGCTATCATGAAATCCCTCCCTCCCAACAAAATTTCTCCCAAATCAAGTATCTCTCCACTAGTCCCCTAAGAAAAGGAAACGGTAGGCTATAGCGGGAAAGATAAAGTTCATTCCAATTCACAACACTAAAGAAAATCCCCAGGTAACACAAACTTTTAGAATCTGTTTGGACATCCTACCTCACATTTCAACAAAAACACATGAAACAGCACCAAAAACAAACTGAAACTTCTTCTGCCTCTTTCTTATGGCAAAAGTACAACGTTAAATAATGACAGAGGGCTGGAGAGATGGCTCAGCAGTTAAGAGCATTGCCTGCTCTTTCAAAGGTCCTGAGTTCAATTCCCAGCAATCACATGGTGGCTCACAACCATCTGTAATGAGGTCTGGTGCCCTCTTCTGGCCTGCAGGCATACACACAGACAGAATATTGTATACATAATAAATAAATAAATATTTTTTAAAAATGACAGAAATAATGACTTCCTAGGACGCTCTGAGGAAAATCCATCGGTGACTTGTAAATACATACATCCACAGTGACACCTTCAATCCCCTACATTCAGTGAAGGGACGTGTCTACCCGGTTGCTGAGCATCTGTCACGTGGCAAGCATGAACTGTTTCAGGCACCAATGATACACACAGGTTGGAGAAGCACTGAGTCTTTTCAAAACTATTTAGACCATTTAGAAACTATGCACACCCAGGGGTAACTGAGATCATGACAGTGGATAGTAAGGCCATCACAGAAAGGGCTGACGGTTAAAAGACCCAAAAAGATGTCAAAGAGAAATGGGCAGATGAATAGGAATAACCAAGAAACAGTTTCAGGGATGCCAAGAAAAGAGGACATTTGGAGAAGGGGGAGCACACTGGTGCTGAATGTTTCAAATAAAATTCAGATCAGTGCACACTGGATTTGACCACACTAATATCCCAGTAAACAGTTTTCAGGGAAGAGAACAGACCAGATATTTAGAGCACATATGCAATCAAAATGCCAGCAAGGGTGATGGCAAAAGAGAAATGTAGTGCAGAAAGAAAGAATGGTCTTTATTTTTGCTTTTAAAAATTAAAAAAGACAGGCATGGTGAGAAGCACCTTTAATTCCAGCACTTCAGAGGGAAGAACCAGGCAGATTTCTATGAGTTCAAGGCCAGCCTGATTTACCTAGCAAATACCAGCTTGTCGGGGATACACAGTGAGACCCTGCCTTTAAAAATAAAATAGCTAGGTCTGGTAAGTAAGCCCACTCACTAGCAGGCAGAGACAGAAGAAGCTGAGGTCAAGATCAGCCTGCACTATAGTGAGTTCTAGGCCAGTGTGAACTATGTACCTAGTGGAAAATGTTTCAAATTAAAAACAGAAAAAAAAAGAGGGGGCTGGAGAGATGGCTCAGCGGTTAAGAGCATTGACTGCTCTTCCAGAGGTCCTTAGTTCAATTCCCAGCAACCACATGGTGGCTCACAACCACCTATAATGAAATCTGGTGCCCTCTTCTGGCCTACAGGCAAGATACTATATAAATAAATAAATAAATCTTTAAAAAAAAGGAAACTGGGGCTGGAGAGATGGCTCAGAGGTTAAGAGAACTAACTGCTGTTCCAGAGGTCCTGAGTTCAATTCCCAGAAACCACATGGTGGCTCACAACCATCTGTAATGAGATCTGCTGCCCAAAACACTATATACATAATAAATAAATAAATAAATAAATAAACAAACAAACAAACTGGGAAGGGGGACTTGATTTGGATAGGGAGTGGGGAAATGTTTTTTTTTTAATTTATTTATTATGTATATAGTGTTCTGGGCACCAGATCTCATTATAGATGGGTGTGTATCATCATGTGGTTGCTGGGAATTGAACTCAGGACCTCCGGAACAGCAGTCAGTTCTCTTAACCTCTGAGCCATCTCTCCAGCCTGGGGAAATGTTTTTTAAAAAAAAAAAAAAGGCAGGCGGATCTCTGTGAGTTCGAGGCCAGCCTGGTCTACAAGAGCTAGTTCCAGGACAGGAACCAAAAGCTACGGAGAAACCCTGTCTCGAAAAATCAAAAAAAAAAAAAGAAGAAGGAAGAAAATGAGAGATGAAGGGAGAGAGGAAAGAGGCCAGACTTGAGAGTGTCACAGTTAAGTGGCAGCTTAACATTCAAGTGGCTCTGGGGGAGCACAAGATAGCTCAGTGTAAAAGCATATCCCTCAGCAGATAAAAGTGCTTGCCATGTAAGCCTAAAAACATGTTTGTTCCTGAGAACTGAGTGTTTAAAAGAGTGTACTGAGTTCAGTTCCCAGAACACACATCAGCTGACCTGTAACTCCAGCTCTAGGGGATCTGATCCCTCTGGTCTAGGACACTTGCATTCATATGCACCTACCAACACAGACACACATATACACATAAAACAAAATAAAAATAAATTCTTGGGTTTTTTTGTTTGTTTGGTCGGTTAGTTGTTTGGTTTTGGTGTCTTTTTGTTTGGTTTTTTTTTTTTTTTTTGAGACATTGTTTCTATGTGTAGCCCTGGCTGTCCTTGAACTCACAGAGATCAACTTGCCTCTACCTTCCAAGTGTTGGGATTAAAGGCACGCACCACCACTGCCCAGTTCACTTTTTTAATGTATGTGTGTGCATGCCTGTGTGAGTGTATGTACACCATGTGCATGCAGGGGCCCATGAAAGACAGAAGGACAGAAGGAGTCAGATCCTGGAGCTGGAGTTACAGGCAGAAACCTTATGTGGGTGCTGGAAGCCAAACCTAGTCCTCTGAAAGAGCAGCACTACTCTTAACCACTAAACCATTTTCCAGTCCCCTAAATATTTTTAAAAGAAGTTCTGGATTTAATTCCCAGAGTACGCTCACACATAGAGAGAAAAACAGCAAAAGAGAGAAAATATACATAAAATACACAGTGAAGCTGGGCATGATGGTGCATGATTGATCTTCAGGGCAGAAAAGGGAGGGAAAAGGATATCTAGTTAAGGCCAGCCAGGGCTGGGCTACATGATGAGATCAAAAATAAATAAATAAGTATAAAGACAGATAGTCAGAGAGACAGACAATGTTACCCTCCTTTACGATTATATGAGAAATGCATATGTATGAGCATCATATCATAAATGCTGCCTAATTTTCAACTTACAGAGCTAAATGACAGATAGCTCAGGAAGGAATAGGTGGGAGGAAGGAGTGGAGGGAATGTAATCTAACAAATTAATGAGGCCTGGGAACAAAGCTCAGGGGCAGAATGTACACTTACTATTTGTGAGGCCAGCGTTCCATCTCTAATATCATAAATTTATTTCAGTTGGATTGAGAGGAGACAGGGTAAGTTCCCTTTTTGCTTAAAGTTAAAGAAAATAAACACATCATTTTAAATGACGAGAATAAACACTACAACCTTTACAACAAAAAGCATTAAAAGCACTGCTAACGCAGGAATGAGGAAAGTCAGCTGTATATACTGCATGAATAATTCAAGTCAATTTTACAATAACTTTAAAATGAGAACTGGGAGCTAATGTGACGGCTAGAAAATAGTCCACTTTAAGAGTGAGGGTCAGAGCTGGACAGTGGCGGCACACACCTTTAATCCCAGCACTCTGAAGGCAGAAGCAGACAGATCTCTGTGAGTTCAAGGCCAGCCAGGGCTACACAGAGAAACCCTGTCTCAAAAAAAAAAAAAAAAAAAATCAAATCTCAAGATAAGTTCTAGCAATCCACTTCTTTAATTATTCCAGGTGGCTGTCTCCTTTATGACCAAGATGACTACAATGAAATCACAGTGACACAAACACCAAGAGTCCTGAGGAGCAGGAAACAAATGAAAACAAGAGATGGCTGGTAAAGACCAACAAACAGCAGTATTCTTGGTAAGATCCAGGTAGTAAGAAGGGTATATCCTATAGTAGCTTCAACTACTTGGTAGACTGAAAAGGAATATCATCTGAGCTCATGAATTTGAGACTAACAAGATGCTATCTCAAAAAACAAAAAGCCATCAGCAGAAAAATCAGTTTCAGGTTGGTGAGATGGCTCAGCAGGCTTAGACTTGTGGCCAAGCATAGTAACCTGAGTTTGATCCCTGGGATCCATGTAGTAGAAGTGGAAACTAGACCTGAACGTTGTTCTGCCTTTCACAGGCACATGCACACACACACACACACACACTTTTCAAAACTTTTTGTAAAAAAGAAAAACCAGAGCTGGCTCAGAAGTTAACATCACTTGCTGCTTTTGCAGAGGACTCAGGTTTGATTTCCAGCACACACACAGCAGCTCACAACCATCTGTAAGTCCAGTCCCAGGGATGTGACACCCTCTCTGACCTCAGCAGGGACCAGGTACATGGTGCACAGACATATATGCAACTCATACATAAAATAATAAAATAAATCAATCTTAAAATTAATTTAAAAAAACAGCTTCATATTTCAAAAGCCAAGCTACTGAAGAAACTATGAATGAGGCAGTGAAGCTGAAGTAGCCCAAGAGCAGTAAGGCCCAAAGAAGGCCCAAGCCAGATGTCCCACAAATACAAGAAGGATAAGAACCATGGGGAAAGAACAGAATTTGAGGAGCTGCATCGTAGACAGGACATCAATGGGAAACAGGGAGAGTGCTCATAGGTAACCTCACAGCCCAGGCCCTTCCAAAAATGCCTTCTTAAACCCAGGGCTGGGGTGTTTCTCCAGTCTCTGCTCATGGGTTGGTGGATGCTGGTGCTTCTCAGCTCCATAACAATGCCCACCACAGGAACCTACCTTAGCAGTGGAAACACCTAGTAATAAATAATTAAATGCTTACCCCTACTTTCCGCAAGAGATCTCCCACGATGTTTAGTGCTGATATCCTAGCAGAAGGAGTTAGTGGACTGGTTCCAAAACCATTTGGTATAGCTACAGAAAAAGAAAGCAGAGTGACATCAGCAGCTCCTTTTCTATTTGTACTGATATTACAAAGTAGAACACATTTGAAATAAAATCATACTAGTTCAAGACCACAGACAACTTATAAAAGTGAGGGATCATAAAGAGGCTTAACCATTTGGCAACTGGTGCATAATTTAGACTACATCAATGTCACTACTCCAAATTGCTACAAGGACAAAGATCCTTAAACATCTCAACAGGTATTTCTAGAGATCCTAAAAATAGAACTGTGAGGGCAGAGGGCTGCCCATTTTATCCTTAACAGATACTACTAAGGTACTCCATTAGAACACCTGCCACATATGAACTCAAGAGACTGGCAGCACACACAGTCTGTGCAGGCCCAAGCCAGAAAGGGACCCAGTGCTGAGAAGGGGGAGTAGACATGAGCCCCTACCCCTAACCAAGAAGCTATCTCCAACTGAAAACTGCCCACAAAGGAAAAGCTCATTTCTCCAAGGGAGTCTCACACAGGTAGATAAACCACACATAAGGGCAGACCCCATGCCCAGCAGTCGTGTGTGTGTGTGTGTGTGTGTGTGTGTGTGTGTGTGTGTCTCATATTGCTTTGCTTTGTTTGGGCTTCTTTTTTTAAACCTTACTGGTGTTTTGCATGTACATTATGGTTTCTGATTTTATGTTTTATGAGATGGTGTGTATGTGTGTGTCTACATATTTCTCATTTTCTTGTTAGTTCTGTTTTATTCTTGTTTGTGTTTGTTGTTGTTAATGAACGTGTTTTTTTAAAAAGAGAAAGAAGGTAGAGTTGGGGCGGGCTAGGAGGATCTGGGAAAAGATAAGCAAGGAAAAACTATGATCATAATACACTGTATAAAAAAAAATACCTGTGAGCCAGGTGGTAGCGGCACACACCTTTAGTCTCAGCACTCAGCAGGCAGAGGCAGGTGGATCTCTGTGAGTTCAAGGCCAGCCTGTTCTACAAGAGCTAGTTCCAGGACAGGCACCAAAGCTACAGAGAAACCTTTTCTCGGGGAAAAAAAAAAAAACCTGCAATTAAAAAAAAAAAAAAAACTAAAAGAATACTATGTCAAACTGGGCGCGGCATAGGCATGTGGATCTATCTCTGTGAGGCTGAAGCCAGGCTGCTCCATATACATAGCAAGTACCAGGGCAGGCAGGATTACAGAATGAAACCACATCTCAAAAAAAAAAAAAAAAAAAAGTCCAGTCTGGTCTACAGAGTTCCAGGACAGCCAGAGCTACTCAGAGAAACCTGCCTCAGAACATAATAACGCTTTTAACTTTTCAAAAGTTTCACTAAAGTTGCTCCTCCCTTAACTGCAGGTGTCATGTCATCTGCCATGCATCAATGGCCTTCGTTTCCCAGCTATTAGAGTAACTGTAGCATCTCCTGTCCCATCAGCACATGCACTACACTGACCACCTAGCACAGCTTCAAAGAGAAAATACAAACCTTTTGGTGAAGGAAAACTGTTTTCTGTTCCTTTGCCAACAGGCGTTGCAGGCAGGGAGAGTGAAGCTTGGACAGCAGAATCCATCTTCTCACAGTCCAGAGTTGGGGAGCTGGGAGCAGACTTTCGGGTCACTTCTTGTTGTCGTTCCCGAACTGCTAGCTCTTGCCTTAAATCTGCAAAATGTTGAAGACAAAAGCAGAAATCCTTACTAAAGGGAGCAAATTATCCTGCAAAGTTCCAATTAAAACATTATAAAAATATTCCTCCTAAGTTAGTAATTCTCAAAACAAACTTTCTATCTAAAAATGCTCATCTTGAAACAAAATTGTAAGCTCTATAATTTAAATAATCTGTTAGAATTTTAAAACATGGGCCAGTGAGTCTCAGTAGATTAAGGCAGCTGGTACCAAGCCTGACGGAATGAGTTCCATCCCTGAGACTGCGGTAGGCTGAGAGCACCAACTCCTACAAGCTGTCCTCCGACTTCCACAGTCATGAAGTGGCACAAGCACACACACTTTAGATAAGTAAATATTATTTTTAAAGATAATTTTAAAATGCTAACCCTCAGAGAACAGTATTATGCCTAAAGGCAGAAAGAAATTAATCAAGGAGGGCTGGAGAGATGGCTTATCCACAGGACAAATTCAGACTGCTCACAGCTGCCTATAATTCTAGCTCCAGAATCACAAACTGATATATGCAACCTGTATGCACAGTTGCATTGTTCACAAGAACAAGAGATGCAAGCAACCCCACAGACCACTCATGGAGGAAAAGAAAACAAATGTGTGCAATGGAATTTTTAATCCACTTTTTTTTTAAAAGAAAAGAATGAACAATTTTCCAAAACTTGTCCTCTACACTCCACACTCCTGCCTTTGCACTCATGCAGACAGGTGTAGGTGTAGCACACACACAAACACACGCAGGTGCAGATGTAGCACACACACACAAACACACGCAGGTGTAGCACACAAACACACGCAGGTGCAGGTGTAGCACACATACACACAAACACACGCAGGTACAGGTGTAGCACACACACACACACAAACACACGCAGGTGTAGCACACACACAAACACACGCAGGTGCAAGTGTAGCACACACACACAAACACACACAGGTACAAGCAAGCATGCATGCACAAAAAAAAGTAAAAATTTTTTAATAATTAAAAAAAAGAAATACTGCTGGGCGGTAGTGGGGCACGCCTTTAATCCAGCACTCGGGAGGCAGAGACAGGCGGATCTCTGTGAGTTCGAGGTCAGCCTGGTCTACAAGAGCTAGTTCCAGGACAGGCTTCAAAGCTACAGAGAAACCCTGTCTCAAAAAACCAAAAAAAAGGGCTGGAGAGATGGCTCAGAGGTTAAGAGCACTGGCTGCTCTTCCAGAGGTCCTGAGTTCAATTCCCAGCAACCACATGGTGGCTCACAACCATCTGTAATGATATCTGGCGCCCTCCTCTGGTGTGCGGGCATATATCGAGGCAGAATGTTGTATACATAATAAATAAATAAATCTTTTAAAAAAAAAAAAAGAAATTTGTCACTACAACTTAAACAAACCTTAAGGACAATACAGAAAATGAAATCAACCAGTCACATAATAAATAACTAAAACTTTTTAAAAAGTCAACACCAGGGGGCTGGAGAGATGGCTCAGTGGTTAAGAGCACTGGCTGCTCTTCCAGAGGTCCTGAGTTCAATTCCCAGCAACTACATGGTGGCTCACAGCCATCTGTAATGAGATCTGGTGCCCTCTTCTGACCTGTAGGTATAATTGTATGCATAATAAATAAACCTTTAAAAAAAAAAAAGCCAACACCAGGCCATAGTGACACACATCTTTAATCCCAGCACTCAGGAGGCAGAGGCAGGCAGATCTCTTGTGAGTTGAGGGCCAGTCTGGTCTTCAGAGCAAGATCCAAGACAGCCAGGGCTAAACACACACACACACACACACACACACACACACACACACAAAGTCTCAAAAGACCAAAAGTGAATGAATAAATAAATAAAATAAAAATTAAAAAATCAGCTACCATATACTTTTAATCTCCAAACTCAAGAGGTCAGAGGCAAGCAGACCTCTGTGAGTTGGAGGCCACTGTGGTCTACATAGTGATATTCTGGCCAGTCAAAGCTATCCTGTCTCAAAAAAAAAAAAAAAAAAACAGAAAAGATATTAAATGCAATTTTCTGTGTTTTTAACCAAAATTAAAAATAAGTAAGAGGAGCCAGGCAGTGGTGGTGCACGCCTTTAATCCCAGCACTCGGGAGGCAGAGGCAGGTGGATCTCTGTAAGTTTGAGGCCAGCTTGATCTACAGAGTGAGTTCCAGAACAGCCAGGGTTACATAGAGAAACCCTGACACAGGAAAAAAAAAAAAAAACCACACACACACACAAAGAAACAACAAAAAAAAAGAGCCGGGGGGTGGTGGCGCACGCCTTTAATCCCAGCACTCAGAAGGCAGAGGCAGGCGGATCTCTGTGAGTTCGAGATCAGCCTGGTCTACAGAGCTAGTTCCAGGACAGGCTCCAAAGCCACAGAGAAACCCTGTCTCGAAAAACAAAACAAAAAAAAGAAACCCTTCCTTCTCTCCTCCTCAGAAGCACAATAAAATTCAGATTATTATAAAGGAAACAAGAGCTGTAACAGTAAATGTTCCTAACTGCTGCTAAGCCATCTCTCCAGATCCAAAAGCTGTTTTAAAAACTTGGGGATGGCCGGGCGGTGGTGGAGCACGCCTTTAATCCCAGCACTCGGGAGGCAGAGGCAGGCGGATCTCTGTGAGTTCGAGACCAGCCTGGTCTACAGAGCTAGTTCCAGGACAGGCACCAAAGCCACAGAGAAACCCTGTCTCGAAAAACCAAAAAAAAAATAAATAAAAAATAAAAAAAAAATAAAAACTTGGGGATGGCACATATAATCCCTACATTAAGCATAAGAAAGGGAAATTGTGTGCCCACTGATCTGCCATAGTAAATAAATCAGGAATTATATAAAGAAAAACATAAGGACATATTTATGTACAGTCATAAAAAGCTGAACCAAATGTCACACTGTTGGTGAGCCTTTCTTCTTTATAATATTCTGAATTTTACTGTGCTCCTGAGGAGAGACAGAAGTTTTAAAGAAAGTATGTACTAGTTACATGTATAATAAACAGCAACACACACATGGTTCTAAGTAGATAACATGAAGGTATTTAAACAGAATCAATAAAAGATCCCAACTGAAAGCAGTACCATGTTGGGAAAACTCAAACTCTCTGTGCCCCACTTTTCTCATCTCTAATACAGAGATCATAATTACTTCTTACAAGATGATAATATGGGTGTGAAATAAGTTACCAGTTAAAAGCAATCGGCACAGTGATTAAAAGGTAAGCAAATGCATGTAAAACTAGAGCTTCATAGAAACTGAGGGATGGCCTTGGCTCAGAAGCAGAGTGCTTACCCTGCATGTTCAAGGCCCTGGGTTTGATTCCCAGCATCATCAAAAGAGTTGACCTTTGGTTTCCTCGGGCTCAGGGACAAGACAATGGATAAATAACTGCTAAGTTATAACACTTACCTCTTGCTTCATCCTTTAACCTTTGTACTGAGACCAACAAAGACTCTTTTTCATCAAGTTCACTTTCTAAAAACGCATTTCGTTCAATGGCCTGATTTAGCCTTTGTTCAAAGTCTTCCAATGAAACTATTGTTGCCCTTTAAAAAAACAAATTTAAAAGCCCATGAATTAAATAACATGTACAAACAGCTAGTACAAAGGGAAGCAGTCAGTTTATCTCCTGCCGTTCCTGACCCAGTCAGCCTGACCCAGTTTTGAGAATGATCTCACAAACATTAGCATGTACCTACTCTGTGGCCTCCCATCCCCTGCTATCTGCTACAGAAATAAAATTCTCAACCTGAACTTAGAACTCAGAATGCCGATTCCAATATTATCAGTTACAGTCAGATGCCAAAAATGTCTCTCCAAAGCGTTTCTCCTTGAGTCTTTGGCCCCAACAGTATTCCCTCTCCTGCCTTAATTCTTTTTGTCATTTGGATTACTGCTTAATGGTTTTACATCTCCTCCTTACTTAAACTTCTCAGTACTGACTTCTCAAATCAAGATCAGATATTACTCTTTAAGAGAGAGAGAGACTCTGAAACAAAGCACACAGGGTTATTCATGACCTGGCCCCAAGTACCTTCTATTCTCCTATTCTTCAACTGTCACTGACCCGCCAATTAAAACAACCTCTTCTTGTCTCTCAGCTCTTCACTGTCTCTCCACCTCGTTATCTTTTCTTCCTAGCTGGTTACAGACACACATAAAGTCATACCCAGCAGACTTAGCTCCAATTTGTCAAAAGGCTCTCCAGTTCCCACAGGCACTATAGATGCTCTGGAGCAGCTCGTCCATTCTCTTACTGGAGCACTTGTCATAGTAGGTGTTCTTAGAGATCAGCTCCAAGAACAGTAACTAGCATAATGTCAATCAAGAGTCAACTGATAAATAGTAAAGAAAAAGTACTAGGATGTGGGCTGGAGAGGGCTCAGTGGTTAAGAGCACTGGCTGCTCTTCCAGAGGTCCTGCGTTCAATTCCCAACAACTACATGGTAGCTCACAACTGTCTGTAATAAGATCTGGTGCCCTCTTCTGGCATGCAGGCATACATGCAGACAGAACATTGCATATAGAATAGATAAATCAATCTTAAAAAAAAAAAAAAAATCCAGGCATGCCTTTAAAACCAGCACTTGGGAGGCAGAGACAGGAGGGATCTCCCAAATACCAAACTGGGTATGACTTTATGTGCGTCTGTAACCAGCATTATGAAGAGCAGAGACAAGAGGATTAATTGTGAAAGTACTTAGAAGGACTTTATTGAAGAAGATAAGGTTTTAGGGATATATGTTTTTAAGCTGGTCTGAGCTTGCTATGTAGATTAGACTGGCCTCAAACTCAGAGACCCACCTGCCTCAGTCTCCCGTGTGCTAGGATTATAGCACTACTAAGCCTGGCTTGTTGTTTTGTTTCAGTTTTTTTTTTTTTTTGGTTCCTTTCAATCTAATAAGTTATATATGACATAAGATAGTAAAGGGGGAAACGGGTTCCTAAGATCCAGGTGAGAATGCACGGCATCCTTTACCTTTTCGCTCGCTCCAGGTCATCGTTGGCCTGCTCCAGCTCTCTCACATACTTATGAAGCTGCTCCTTAATGGCCCGGGTCTGACTTAAGTCATCTTCTAACACTGAGACCTGCTTGTAGCTCTGTGCATACTGATGCTCTAGTTTCTCCTGAAAGAAGAGATGCAGAGAAAGATCATGGTTAATATATCATCGTCTATTAATAAAAGAATTTCACAAATTAAAGGGGGGAAAAGATCAAAAAGATTCACAATTTGAGTTGATAGCAAACCCACTACTCTTTGTAATAATTTTAAAATTACATGGACAAATCCATTATAAATGTCTAACTCATATGAAACTTATATAATAACCATTCTCTCTCAGAAAAAAAAAAGATCTTTCTGAAAAGTAAAATAATAGAATCCTTGCCTCAGCATCTAAGCCTGGGGGCTGGAGATGACTCCAGAAGTGATGCTCTTGTAAAGGACCGGAGTTTAATTCCCAGCACTCATGTCAAGCGGCTCATAACCACCTGCAATTCCAGCTCTAAGAGATCCAATGCGCTTTCTAGCCTCCACGGGTACCATACTAACATGGCACAGCCATACAGACTCATAATTTTAAAATTAAATCTTGAAAAACAGAACATAAGCCAGGTATGGTGGCACATATCTTTAATCCTAGCACTTGGGAGGCAGAAGTAGGCAGATCTCTGTAAGTTCAAGGTCAGCCTGGTCTACAAAGTGAGTTGAAGGACAGTTAGGGCTGTTACACAGAGAAGCTCTACCTTGTGGGGAGGGGGGAAGAAAAGAAAAAAAGGAAACATAAACCTGACTGGGTAACTTCTAAGTTTGCAAGATGAGTGTAACCTGACAGAAATACTCTCAAGAACCCCAGAGGTTCCCAAATCACAGAGGCCACTAATATTACTCTTGGTTACCCAGCAGAACTTGATATTAAAACCATACTACTAGCTGGACAGTTAAATAAATACATATATCTATATATAATTTCTGGGTAATACACAATTAGCCAAGCAATTTGTCTAAACAAATAATCAGGAAGCTTTAGAAAATATAGAAACTAAAATATAGTGAGGAACATGACAGGCAGAAAACTGACAGCCATAAAATTCTATGAAAACTCCTAAACTCTGAACCACCTATTGGTTCTACATTACAAAAAAATTTCAAAAATCTACCTTAAGCTTTTTAAAAATACATACATTCTTGGTTGCTTGCTTCTTTTAGTACTACTGAATAACACATTTCTCATTTTTTAAATATTAATATATTTCATATAGTGTAAGTAGTATATGCTCTTGAGCACCTGTGTGAAGATCAGAAAACAATTTGAAGAAAAAGGTTCTCCTCTTCCATCATGTGGGGCTCAGGAATCAAACTCGGGTGGTCAGGCTTACTGACAAGTGCCTTTTCCAACCAAGCCATTTGGGGCTACATTTCTCATCTAGTAAACACCAGTGCACTAGACAGTACTGCACCCAGGGAAGTAGCCTCTGCCACAGTTACCTTTAACGCCTCCACTTCATACTTCAGTCTTTGGTTATCAGCTTGCAGGTCTCTATTTCTTTGTTCCGCCTGTACTAACTGTGCCTCCAATTCTGCTTCTAATTCTCTGCTTCCTTCCTGAAATTCAACTAGCTCATCCCGAGCTTCCTGGAAGCTAAGCAGAAGTAAAGTAGGAAAGATGAGTTAATAGTTGAGTCTTCTCATATAATTCAGTAGTTTCTGACTGAAAATTAATGTTCTCATAAAATATTAAACAGTAAAAAAAAGTATTGTACTTCTTGCTCCATATGTATTCAGGATTCAATAAAAAGTAATTATATGCCCTCCCCCCCCCAAAAAAAACCTATGTAAATCAGTAATTACAGTATTTACGAAAGTAGTTCTACATGGCTCAAAACCACCAGCTTCTCCCTCTTTAAAATCGAAAGAGGAGGGGCATATATATGTACTGAAGTAACTTCAATTGGGCATTAGTTTCCATTCTAATCAACACATACCCTCAAATCACAATGGCTGGTGCAGACCTAAGCATCACTCACCCTTAGTACTAATTCAGAACAAGGAAGTTTACCATGCATCTCCGTCTTTTTATCTAATACACTAATACATTATTTTAACACTACAAACTAGTTTAATGCTTAGATAACTTTTTCAATACCTGGTTTCCTCTATAATTCCATTACTTAATTTTCTTCATTTAAATGTATTCTAAGAAGGGGTTCACAAACTTCCCTGCCTCTGGAGGAATCTGTAACATTAAGACAAATGAAGAACCTCTGCTAGACGCAGAGCATCTTCAGCCCTTGGCCTGATAAAACCACAAGGAAAGACCAATGGGATGTGATAAGGCTTAGTTAACTCTGTCAACCAAAGGAGGAAAATGCATGTTTTAGTAAAATTTCTAAGCTGGAGAGAAGGCTTAGTGGTTAAGAGCACTGGATGCTCTTCCAGAGGACCAGAGTTCAATTCCCAACATCTACATGGCAGCTCACAAGCATCTTTAACTCCAGTCCCAGAGGATATAATGCCCTCTTCTGGTCTGTATGGTCACCAGGCATGCACATGGTGCACAGGCATAAATACAGGCAAAACACCCATACTCATAAAACAAAAACAAATAAATCTCAAAAATATATATATAAGAAAGTTTCAGTAAATAATATGAATTTAAGTTTTGAGGCCAAAGAGCTATTTTCTTACCAACTAAGTAAGATATTATTTTATAAAAGCAATTTTATAAAATGCTCCATAGCTTGGAAATTCAGCTTCCTCTCAACACTAATAATGCATTCCTGAAGAGACTAAAGTCCGTCTTAAGTATCTCAAATGAGCAAATGATGAGGGAGTACCGGTACACACACGGAAGGCCAAAGACAGCCCCCAGACTAGTGACAAGCCACAGGAAGCAAGCAATCAGAAGAAATCATAGGTGGCACTATCGTTTCCTGCTATTTCAAAGTGAAGAACTTAAAGATTGGTGGCAGTCTTATACTCTTTAAATACAAACAGTGTTATGACTATGGAACCACAATCCTAAACCTGAAGCTCTAAAGTTAGCTTTATACTCCAAAGAAAAACATGTGCAAGCTATACATGGCATACTCCAAATCCCACCCCTATTTTAATAGTTTTTAAACTCTACCTTTGCTTATACTTCAAGGAAAGTTCCTTCCAATAAGCAGTTTCTTCCTTTAAACTTGAAAAATCTGGTATATCTTCACCATCCATGATCAAGAAAGCCTGTGACATTAAAGACAAAGAAGCCAGTTTGTCAGTGAAAGCATGGCACTGCATTTGGTAGTTTCCCAAGTTCTAGGAGTGGCTGGAACTTTCCTAAACTTAAGCACACATCCTACCTCACTCAGGGACAACCAACATTATGTACAGGATCATGACAGCAGATGACATCAACAGGGTCAGAGGGAACGAGGCATTGTCAGCTATAGCACTGGGTTCTAGATAATCTGACCACAGAATTACCCTACATACAGTTCCAGCAGTTAGTTTATGGTCAACTGGTCTTCAGGGAATCCACTAACAGAAAGAAAAAAAAGTCAAAGAATTTGCCACTTCACACGTTTCCCTGATGTATATATAACTGCTTTAAAACACCCGCAATGGGTCTGGGGGTATGGCTCAGGTGTTTAAGTGCTTGCCGAAGGTTTGATCTCTGGCAACACATGAAATCTCGCACTGAGAATTAGAGGCAGGAGCTCATCCTCAGCTACACAGAAAGTTCAAGGCCAGCCTGGGTTATGTGAGACCCTGACTCAAAAAGACGTGGGGAGGGAGAGAGAAAGGATGGAAGGGGGAAAGGGAGAGGGAGGTAAAAGAGGAAAGAAGAAGCTGCTTAGAGCCCTCATGCCAAGTGAGACTACTACTTAGGCAAGACCGACATTCTCATATCATACTTCTGAAAACATCCTCAGTCATCCTTCAACTCAACTTTACCCCAATAGTCCACTCGTCTCCAACTGCAATAATCTTTGTCTCAGTTCTTCCCCCAAGGTATTCACAGAGGGAGGGTCTAGTTGCTCTTGCCATTTCAACTAGGAAAAACACCCAAATGATCATAGGACAGTTTAAAAACATCAAGATGATTGGCCCACTCCAGATTCCTGCCACATCTTCCCTACAATCCCCTCTTTACTTCTGTCCCAGCACCACATCCACATAGCAGATCCACAATAATGTCTACTGAACTAAACCACAATGTGTGCCGGCCAGTAAGGACTGAAGAACAATCTAAAACAAACTAGAAAGCCTTGGAAATACAGAGAACTCAGAGCCCATCTAAACAATTCACTTCTGTGTTTAACCACAGCACATACAGAACTCAGATTCAGGTGTGTATACAAGACAGGCATGAGAATGATGTTCAGTGGGGGTGAAACCAAAAATAACTTGATATGCTCAATTTAATTCTTCTGAGGCACAGTACCAACTTTCCTTAACCATGTCTTTGCTGATCATCTATTATTATCTTGACATTTAATTAGTAAATCTTTCAGTTATCTTCCAATCACCCTAAAAGTTCTTTCAAAGAAATAGATTCTAACACCTTGAACTCCTTCATGCCAGTGGGTACATGATGCTCAGAGAAGGCACTTAATGTGCCAATCATTTGCTGAATACTAGTAAGGTTTTTTTTGTTTTGTTTTGTTTTTTATTTTTCGAGACAGGGTTTCTCCGTAGCTCTTGGTTCCTGTGCTGGAACTAGCTCTTGTAGACCAGGCTGGCCTCGAACTCACAGAGATCCGCCTGCCTCTGCCTCCCGAGTGCTGGGATTAAAGGCATGCGCCACCACCGCCCGGCCCTAGTAAGGTATTATTAAGCACTATTTATTTATGTATTTATTGACCAGTTACACTGTTTTCTACTCTGATTACACCTACACTAGCACAGATTTGTCCATATCACTTTATTCTTAGAGATGTCTTTATAGCACGAGAGTACTTTAATATGTGAACCACAAAGGGCTGGGAGTCCTGTTGAGGCTGAGCTCTAGGGTCCCAATTCTGCCATTAAATTACTCATACAAACCACTTACTCTCTTGGGGCTTCAGTTGTTCCTTTGCTTCATCTAACAAAGGTGTGGACTATACTGGGTGGCTAACTATTTCAAGTATGTATACTGACTAATAAATACTGACTGGTTCTATAATTCTGTCCCTTTGCCAAAGTCTCAGAAATTCCCCATTTCACTTGCCCAAACAGCCACTTGTTGACGTCTGGCAGTCAGTCTATGGATAAGGAAGGCTCTTCAGCAGCAATGGGCACTCGTTATCTCAAAAGATCCAAAGTACAGGCATCACCCTGTGGTATTGGAAACTTGTCAGAATTAATACCAACATCTCTGTAAGTAATTTAACAATCCAGATGAAGACTAATTACAAGAAATATGTGGCAACACCTAGAGTTGAAACAACAATCCCTGTCTCCTCAAATGCGCTATGTAAGATCATTTCCAAAGTGTTCCGAAAACTGCGATAAATTTTAATCTATATAACAAGAGCCAGAGAGAGCACTCAGCAGTTAGGAGCACTGGCTGTTCTTCCAGAGGACCAGGGTTTGAGTCCTAGCACTCACATGGCAGCTCACAACCATCTGTGATTCCAGTTCCATGGGGTCTGATGCCCTCCTTCTGGTCTCTGTGGACACCAGGCAAATTAGTTGTGCGCACAGGCATGTATACCCATATACATGAAATGATTAAAAAATACAAATAAGAAGAAATGTCCTCTAGAGGTGGGAGTATAGGTCAGTATAGGTACTGTGTTAGGCCCTGGGTTTCATTCCTATTATAATAAGCAAACAAATAAATCCAACCCTGCCCTCAAATTTAGATTAGTTATTTCAATATTGGCAACCATGTGTTAATAGGAAGCTCAAATGTCTAGTTTCTAATATAAAAGCCAATGAATTATGGATTTTTAGAATTTTTTTTTTTTTTTGGTTTTTCGAGACAGGGTTTCTCTGTGGTTTTGGAGCCTGTCCTGGAACTAGCTCTTGTAGACCAGGCTGGTCTCGAACTCACAGAGATCCGCCTGCCTCTGCCTCCCGAGTGCTGGGATTAAAGGCGTGCGCCACCACCGCCCGGCGGATTTTTAGAATGTTATGAAGACCAGAGATGGCACGAGAAGCAAAGGTCCATAGCTGCTGATACTGTCTTCCACAGGAAACCAATGACGAGAGACTAAAGGTTATGTCTCTCTAGTTAGTTCCTTATTTATAATAAGACAAATCTTATTTCTTCTGTCTTATTTATAAATTCTTCCATATCACTCAAAATAAATGACCTGGAAGGCACAGGATGAAGGATATAGCAGCTCCACCCCAAGACTGCAATGAAGTCCCATGATAAAGCCTAGGCCAACAGCCCAGAGTAGCTCATACAGAAAGATGGCTCTTAAAATAAGGAGAAAAAAAATACACAGAATAGGAACTATGACTACAAGGCTGTTTAAATGTGCAATGTAAAAGTGTTTATTCCTTTGTCAATTAGCAAAGCCATAACTGAACGCTTTGGGCGAGCGAGCAAGCTCTCTTGCACACACCTACCTCAGGGGGGAAGGGGAGTAGACAATTTAAGACTGTTGTTATCTGTATATAAAAATTTTAATTCATGCTTCAAATCTAATTTCTTTCATCTTTTTTAGACCTTTATTTATTTTTATTTCCTGTGTATGGATTTTTGGTCTGTGTACCATAGGTGTGTCTGGTGCCCACAGAGACCAGAAGAGAACACTGGATCCCCTAGAACTGGAGTTACAGATGGTTGTGAGCTGTCATGTAGGTGCTGGGAACTGAACCCAGGTCCTCGGAAAGAGCAGTCAGTGCTCTTAACCACCGAGCCATCTCTCCAGCCCATATATCTAAAAAATTTAACTCAATAGATTATATGTTATTTTTAAACAACTGGAACAAGTCCGTTAATTAACCTTTCTATATTTTTTTTGTTTACTCCTTTAAAAAATTTTTTATTTGATGATAATGAAGATGTACCTGTATATACACTGTGTGTATGTACGTGGGTGCACACACGAGCACTATGTAATGCATGGGTGGGCACACACATGCCATGGTATGTATGTAGGATTCAGGGAACAACTTTCATGAATTGGGTCTCTCCTGCTTCCTTGAACTGGGGAAGAAACTCTGGTTGTCAGGCCCACGTGACAAGTGTTTTAACCCCAGAAAACATTGTCTTGCTGGTACAGTTTACACCCAAGCATCGAGGGAATTTATTAGAAGTCAACTGTGTGGTCTTTCTATTTTCTATTTTCACCCTTGAATGTGTTCTAAGTTTTGTATGTTGCTTCCAGGATTTAGTAAACAAGTCTGTGTTCTCCATTTCACACCCTGTCTAATCTTGGTATATCCTGATAATATCTTAGTCTTATTCTTCCCCAAATGAATATTTTAGCCTATTCAACAGTCATTTCAGGCCCCTATTTTTTCTGCCATACTTTAGACTGCTCTGTATCCGTGAAGGAGAGCTACATCTGAGTACTGACATTTTATTCACCAGCAGGGACATTTTAAGTTTTCTATCCTTTTGTTACTATGCAACATTTGCTATTATTAACTGTGTACCAAGAACTAGTGTCCTTGTGGGCATTTCTAGTGGCTGCTAATGCCTTCCTGGGCACCTGACATTCATTTTAATGTATGATGCTTGAATATGGAACCAATCCTTCTACAAATAAGGTCAGAATTAGCTTCATCTATAAATTTTACTCACTTTTCCATGTGGAGGTCGTTTTGTTGTTTGAACTCCGATATACAATCCAAAGGGACCTACCAGTGGCTACTGCTTTGAAGAGCATTTAGCTCAGCAATGGTCCCTGGGGAAGAACACTGTTTACACTTCTGCATATGCCATAGACTATGTATTTGTCTCCAGTTTCTGGTTCTTAAATAGGGACATATTATTTTCATATTTCCTTAGGTTACACAGAAAACATAAAAAGCTGTATATATCAATGGAATACCATGTAATATTTGATATATGAATACAGTACATGCTACTTTAAATAGAGTTAACCATATTCACCTCCTCCAACAATTATCAGCTCTCTCTGGTGGAAACTTTCAAAGACCTTCTAGCTCTTTAAAATGCACAATCCAGAATTATCCAAAGCTGTATGTTCTTCTATAATATTTTTGCTTTCTTCTGTGTGTGTTCGTGTGGGGGTGGATGTGGGGGTGGATGTTTGTAAGCAGATTTTTGTGGACATATATGTGGAGGCCAGTGGACAAGCTCAGGTTTCATTCCTCAGGAACGCCATCTACCGTTTTGTGTTTTCTTTGGTGGTTTATTGGTTTTGGTGGTAGTGGTCTTTCTACCACTTGAGAAAAGGTCTCTCATTGGATTATAATTTACCCATCAGGCTATACTGGCTAGCCAGCAAACACCAGTGATCCACCTGTTCCTGTGCATGTGCATGTAAGTGCAAGTGCGTGCATACACACGCACACACATGCATATAACACAGAGGGCTGAGGTTACAAGCCCCCATAACCATGCCTGTATTCTTTACATGGGTTCTGAGGACTGAACTCAGGTCCTCAAGCATTTTACCAACTAAGCACCTCCACAGTCCAAAAGGATGAAGACACAGGTTTGTTTTGTGGCTTTGTCTTCAGAGTGTTTGTTTTGTTTTTTATGACATGGTCTCACTATATAGCCTGAGTAAACCAGGCTGTCCTCGAACTCCTTCCTTCCTCTGCCTCTGCCTCCTGAGGGCTGGGATTCAAGAAATGCACCATCAATCCCAAAGACAAAAGTTTTAAGTAGTCTTTGCATGCAACCTCTTGAAAATATAGTTTTAGCTGTTATATCACCTTTGTCCCAATACTTCAGTATCAAATAATTCTAGCAAAATTTTTAGTGTTTTTACTTCACCCGGGCGTCTCAATTTTCTTGCTAAATCTTAGGTGAACTGAATGTTCACCATGATTTTTCTAATCAACAAGCTAATCTCGTAGCTTCTTTTTGGCCCTTCAAGCTATACAAGAATTCTTTTATTTAAGTGATCATCGTTAGATCTGGTGTGGCAGTGGAAACCTGTAATTTCAGCACTGAAGAGACAGAGGTAAGAGGATCCAGAGACAGGAGGATCAACACGAATGTCAGGCCAGCCTCATATACATAACAAGCGTTATGTCAGCCAGAGCTACAAAGAACAAAACAAAACAAACAAACAACACCTAATCAAAAATAAGTCAGAGGAGAGCTAGAGATGTGGTAGAGATGTTGGTAAAGCATTGCCTAGAATAGCATGCATGAAGCCCTGGTTCAACCCCGCACTTCATAAGGCAGTGTGGTGCAGCACATCTGTAACCCCAGCCTACAGTAGGTGGAGGGAACAGGGTCAGAGGTTTAAGGTTATTCATGGCCACATGGCAAGTTGGAGACTCAGTCTAGGCCACATTAAACTTCAAAAAGTTTAAAAAAATTACAATAGAGATGGCGCTATGGTTAAGAGCACTTGCTGTTCTTGTCCCAGCACCACATCAGGAGACTCACAACCATCTAGAGCTCCAGCTCCAGGGAATCAGAGCCTCCTGCCTCTGTGGGCACTGCATTCACATGAACATACCCACATGCAGACACATACCTAAACAGAATTAAATATAACAAAATTAAATATAGCTATGTTTAAAAGAACAAGTCAGAGGGGGCTGAAGAGATGGTTCAGTGGCAAGAACACTAGCTGCTCTTGCAAAAGACTAGAATTTGGTTCCCGGCAAAAACATCAAGTAGCTCACAATCCCCTGTACCTCTAGCTCTTCTGCTGGCCTCCACAGCCACCCACATTCACACACACACACACACACACACACACACATTTTAAAAAGAAAAATAAGCCCCATACAAAGTGCTGAAAAGTCCAGAGCCAAACTACACACTATCTGGGTGACCATGGGGTTACCCAATTACTCTGTACCCCATTTCCTCATCTATAGAATAGAAAAATGAGTTAAGTTTTTAAAATTGAGTTACTATTTGTAAGCATTTGGAACAGAGCCTGGTTCACAATGAACACAGCATAAATGTTAATTAAATTATAAGAAACTAGTTGGTCAGGAGTGGACTAAAGTTAAACCACAGAGTAATGAGGCTTCCAAATTTGAAAACACATATGATTCCTCAAAAGCATTTCATTACAAAAAGATCTCCAAAATGCCTGTCCTGGGCTGGGAAGATGGCTAAGCAGTTAAGAGCATTGGCTGCTCTTCCAGAGGTCCTGAGTTCAATTCCCAGCAACCACATGGTGGCTCACAACCATCTCTAGTGGGATTTGATGTCCTCTCCTGGGATAAAGGTGTGCATGCAAATAGAACACTCATATACAGAAAATAAATAAATCTTAAAAAAAAAACCTGTCCTGAAATATGCTTTATGAGCTAGAATAAAAACCAAGCACAAACCAGGTGGTGGTGGCACGCACCTTTAAACCCCGCACTCGGGAGACAGAGGCAGGTGGATCTTTGTGAGTTCGAGACCAGCCTAGTCTACAAAAGCTAGTTCCAGGATAGGCTCCAAAGCTACAGAGAAACCCTGTCTCAAAAAAAAAAAAAAAAAAAAAAAAAAAAAAAAAAAAAAGCACGAGTTCTTACCCTTCAGTCATACTTTGTGTTTGTTGCTTCCTCCTGGAAGTACCCAGCTTTATCCCACTACCCCTATTCATGTGATCCTTCTAAAAATCAGGTTCTTTATAAATATAAAATATAGGCTGGGCTGTAGAGGCACACGCCTTTAATCTCAGTACTCCAGAGGCAAAGGCAGGTGAATTTCTGTGAGTTAGAGGCCAGCCTGGCTTATAAAGCGAGTTCCATGACAGGCTCTAAAGCTATACAGAGAAACTCTGTCTCCAAAAACCGGAAAAGTAAATAATAAATAACAAAATGTGCTACCACTGCAGATAATCCCAAAACTGTTTCTGAGACTGCGAAGACTGTGGAGTTTGCCTCCAGTTAACACTGGACGGATGTGTTCACTATCCTTAGAGATTATGTAAGTGAAGAAAGTTAAGGCTGCAGAAAGTTAGCCAATGTCAAATTTTCACTGTTTTAAAAAACTGCTCAAACGGCACATCTACAGTCTTCCGAAGCTGCAACGCAGGCAGACAAGTGTTCTCTGCTCCTCTCAACCTTTCCTTAATACTATGTCTCACACGGAAGAAAAATTACAACTTTTACATCAGACATTAATCACACTCTCTACGACCTTCAGATGCTCACAACTGTCAATTAACTCACTTGGATTTTAAAGAGCCTAGTCAACATACCTTACTGGCAAAGACACTCTATACAGTGTTAAGAAAAACTATCTTACATGATAGATTACTAACATATATGCAGAATGAAGGTGGTTCCATCAACTTTTCTACCTTATCAAGTGCCTAGAAACTCAAGTCGGAAGTAATTTTAACCTTAGTTCTCAGTCCTCAAATTTATTTTAACATGGTTTAAAAGACAAATGAAAATAAGTTTGGTTGGCCTCATGAAAGCATATTCAGGTTTATTTTTATTTCAAATGCTCAGTAGCCAACTTGAACTTATCTAATTCAAAACACAGCCCCTGCAGATTTAGCAACTTCTACTGAGATTAGGCCTAAAAGTTTCCTTTGTTCTTTATTTAGTCGAAATAAAGATTTTTAGCAACGATGCCGAAGACACCCCCAACTCTGCCTCCTTTGGCTTCTCAACTTAGTGCTGAGTTTTACCTATCAACTTTCTGATTCGGCAGACAATGCCCTCTCTCTTAACTGCAGTGAAAGCAATATAATTTATCAGACTGATAACCAAACACTCATGAGCAAGATTCAGGTAAGATTTTTCTAATAACTGGATGGGGTTTTTGATCAGCTTACTCGAAAATAAATAAGTCATCTACTGACTTCTGGTATTATCTTTGACAAGCCCAATGTCTGGTCTCTTTCTGGCTGAAGAAGGCAAATGAAAACAGAAACCGGAACCCTGAACCTCGAAAGGCTAATTCTGATCCAAGGTAAGCTTCTCACCAGTCGATGGAAGGCAAGTTAAAAATCACTTCGTTGCTCCTGTATCTGGACTCAATTTCCCCATCCAGCAAAAAGTGACTTACAGTATCCGTCTCAAGTGCAACCAATAAATGTTCACAAATGCTACAGGAATGGACCATAATGATGAAAAGAACCCTCACTCGCCTTAAACTTAAGGGGTTGGTTAGCTCATCGTTTCCCAGAGAAAAATAAGAGGCGAGCCCAAGCAACCGGACCCGGTTGGAGATACTTTCCCCAACTCCAAAGCGGGTGATTAGCAGTTCGGGGAGGGCAGTCACGAGACTGCCAGTGGCTGCCAACGCGGGCTGCTCCGGCTTTCGCCTCCGACATAAGAGGAGGCGCTGGGAAACCAAAATCCAGCCGGGCTCCTAACCACCCTGGCGGCTCAAGGGAATCCAGGGTGGGTGGAGCGAGAAGCTGGGCGCGCCGCTGCCACCCCGACAGGGCCACTCCTCGAGCCGTCAGCGTCCCGGCCCCCAGTGCCACGTCCCGGCCTCCGTCGCTCCTCGGGAAGCCCGGGACTCGCTCTCCCGCAGGTGCCCCTGGTGGGCCACACCTCCGACAGTGAGGAGGGGACAGTTAGAGCGGTTGGAACAGTTGTCCCCGGACCGGCCCGGACCGGCGGGGCCTGAGCCCACGGTCCACGGCCGGGCAGGCTCCCCCAGGGGCAGGCCTCGGCGTCGCCCGCCCGGCTCGACCCCAGGGGCTGCCTCGCTCGCACGGAGCTCACCGCCAACGTGTCAAAAGCGCATGTTCGCCGCCGCTCGGTCGACGTCTCCGCTCCGCTGGCCTGGCCAGGCCCGCCCAGCCGTTCAGCTCTGCTCCCTTCCGCAGCCCTGAGCTCCACTCCGCGCACCCCCGCACCGGGCTCCTCCCCGACACGTCAGGGGCTGCCTGGGAGTCGGAGGCCATTCTGTGACGCACGGGGGGCGGAGTCGGGAGCATGCGCAGAAACCCGAGGGTGCGGGGGAGGAGCCGGGGGAGGCAGGCGTCACACGGCGCCGACCCAGGTCCTGCGCGCTGACGTCAGGCCGGCAACACAGTACTGCGCAGGCGCTCCCCGGCCCCGACAAGAAGTAGGTTTTAGCCCTTTGCAGTTTGCGGAAGCTGTGCTGTTGTCGAGAGTGGTTCCCTAGGGTAAGAAGGGAAGCGGGAGTAAAGGAGTACTGGCCCAAAAAGAAGACAGGAAAGGTGTGCAACTGTCCAAAGAGGGGAAACTTAAGTGGTAAAAGGTATTTGGGGAACAAGTTTAGGGACTCTTGCTGTCTCATGCAAGACAGTGTGATTCTAATTTCAGTGCTTTGGGGATTGGTTTTGAGGTTGGAGACACAAGAGCATAGCGTAAGACTTGCTGCAAGGTGAGCCTAAGAAGCCCAGTTATACTTTTGAGAAAGGTGAATATAAACCGAAAAAAAAAGTGCAAGATGGATTTTTAAGGAGAACCCAAATCGCTAAGGAGCAGTGGGGTCTAAAGCACCTTGAACTATACTGTGAAGTAGATGCAGTTTGTTCTACTGGCAGTTGTACCTGTAACTCCCTGTTACTCAGACAAGAAAGGAAGAACACTGTGAAGTTGCCCCAAGGTCACTCAACTACAGTGAGAATTCAAACGCAGAAGCCATACTATTTATTCTCCACTACTATGCTGACAAGGGGGGAAACATAACACCATTTACTGGGCTAGGCGACACTACTAAGTGCTTTGCATACACTGCCCTTTAATCCTCAACAACCTACGAGGTTGGAATTATTAGCTCTATTTTCTATATTGTAACCTAAGACTCGCAGGTCTGCTTTCCAGGCCGTCCTGGAACAGCTTTGAAACTCAAACTGAGGCTCTGCTGTCCTGCTTGGAGCTGTGCTCCATCTAATCAGATCTCAGGCAGGGATGTGATTAACGAAGGCTTTCCCAATGCCAAGATGTGAACATTCCTTCCTGAAGAGGAAAAGATAAAGACTTCAACTTCTGTCCTGCCTCCTGGCTGAGGTGCTAAGAAACACACTGAGTCACCAAGCCAGTCCCTTCGGGAAAACATTGACATCATCTCCCAGGCTGCTGCCCCTCCCGTTTGCTCTGGCCTGAGGATTGGTGTTTGTCAATATCTTGTGTCATCCCCATCTTAATGAATGGGCTTAGCTTGACAGCCCTCAGAAGTCAAAGGCCCTGCTCTGATCTTCCTCATTAGCCCAGGGGCTGGAATAGGGTCTGAGTCAGCACACTGCCTCACCTTCTTCCATTATGCCAATCAGTCTCAAAAGGAAGCACACATTATACAACCAACTTTGCTTCAGTTTATTTTTTTTCTTTTTTGGATTTTCGAGACAGGGTTTCTCCATAGCTTTTTGGTTCCTGTCCTGGAACTAGCTCTTGTAGACCAGGCTGGCCCCGAACTCACAGAGATCTGCCTGCCTCTGCCTCCCGAGTGCTGGGATTAAAGGCGTGCGCCACCACTGCCCAGCTACAACCAGCTTTGTAAGGGTAGAGAAAGTGAGAATTGTCCTACCCTTCTACCTTGATAAAGCTTTCCAAAGCAATTTACATAGATTCCAGTCTTTCTTGTACTGATCCAGAAAGCTCAATGTCACAATTTGAGAACATGCACAAATACCACAACAGCTTCCTGCTGCAAACTCCAAAATCCAAGAAAGCAAGATCCAGTTCCACCCCTCAAACTGGTAGAGGGAGATCAGCTACCAGAGGGGAGATCTGGGACCAAGCCCAAAGTCCAGCTAGTGAGAATGCTGGCCAATCACATATCCAAAATAAATTGTCTTAGGGTTTCTATTGTGGCCATGAAACATCATGTTTCATGTTGCCAGGACATGAAACATCAAGTTGCCATAAGACTAACCAACACAGTAATACAGTGCATACAAACCTGCTATGAAAACTTTGAGAAGATGAAACATATTTAACTAATAAGTCAGGTAAATAAGACACCTCAAAATCAAAGTCTCACTGGGCTTGTTGGTGCATGCCTGTAAGTTGCAGGCCAGCCTAAACCACTACGTAAGAACACCCTGAATTAAAAACAAAGCACACACAAAGACTACTTCATTCAGTCTAACTTTTCTATAGCCCCTTAATCAGTATGTTTTTTACTAATCCTTAAGGGTACAGGTGAGGTCGTGAGAGGAGCGCTCAGTAGACAGGGCGGCTGGTTACTGATGATCTGCCTCATGTCCACCTGATGTCTCTCATGCCTAAACCCCAATAGATCTTCCTTTTGTTTCGACTGAAATGTCTAGAATGGCTTACATGTTTGTCAGCCGTGCCATGTTCTAGTCACTGGAGCACAAAGCCTTCAGCTCTACCCTAATGATCGCCCTCTCTGCCTTCCAGTTATGTGATCACCGTGCAGCAGCAACTTTCCCTTTGTAAACTCAGGCCCTTTCATTTCCACTTCTCCTCCCTGCATTTCCCCCCAGTCCAAAGCCTGCTCTCTACCTGTGCTCCCCTCCCTTGAATGGCATCTTGTTCCACCCTAGCAGTTTCTACATAGCTATCTGAATAATATCACTGAAATTCCACTGTCTACAGAGCATCCCTGCTTCAGAGCCTGTCTCCTTGTTACCTTTGCCATGAAGGATGGGCTATGGTCTGGAGACCAGAGCCCCCAGAGCAGCTCCACCCCAGCCCAGCAGTCCACATCCTGCAGTTCACCTGAGTCTAGGCAAGACTGGCTGCTGTGTCCCTGTGCTGGTTTGAATGAGAATGGCTCTTAGGCTCATATATTTGAATTTTGCTTCCCAGTTGGTGGACTGTTGAAGAAGGTTAGAAGCTGGGGGCTTGTTGGAGGAGGTGTGTTACCCAGGGAGGGCTTTGAGGTTTCAAAGGCCCAGGACAGGCCCAGTCTTTTTTCTTTTTTATTGTTTTTATTGAACTATATATTTTTTCCACTCCTCTCCCTCCCCTCCCCTTCTACCCTCTCCCATCATCTCCAGGCTCCCAATTTACTCAGGAGATCTTGTCTTTTTCTACTTCCCATGTAGATTAAATGACAGCCCAGTCTTATTCTTTCTCTCTGCCTCCTGCCTGCAGACCAGGATGTAAGCTCCGCTTACTTGTCCAGGGCTGTGCCTGCCTGTCATCATACTTCCTGCCACAATAATCACAAACTAATCCTCTGAAATTCTAAGCAAGTCCCCAGTTAAATGTTTCCCTCTATAGGTTTCCTTGGTCATGGTGTTTCTTCACAGCACTAGAACAGCTCCCTTCCTCTCAAGGACCATCAAATCAACTCCCACTGCCTGTGCACTGTGACGACTACTTCTGAAACTAGGCTGCCGCCTTTCTCTCTGCCTTCTTTAGGCTGATGCACAAGCCTCCTCCCCCAGGAAGCCCTCCCTGATATCCAAACACAAATAGAGCACCACATAGTTAAAAGAAAACTTAGAAGCACTACATTTGGGGACCGACAAGATGGCTGAGCTGGTAAAGTTGCTAGTCCACAGTGTGTGACCACCTGACTTTGATCCCTGGGTCCCACACAGCAGAAAGAAAGAACTAGCTGCTCAAGTTGTCCTCCGACCCCAACATGTGTGCCAAGGCAACACACACAAATAAATAATAATAAAAAAAAAAGAACCAGATTTGGGCTAAGGGGTGACTCTCCAGTGAAACACACCGCCCTTCCAGAGGACCTGAGATCTGTTCTCAGCATCCATAGCAGGTGGCTCACAACTGCCTGTAACGGCAGCTCTATGGAATCCGACACCCTCTTCAGACCTCCACGAACACCCACCACATGACAGACATGCATGTACAGGCACACACAGACACACACAAAATTATTTTAAATAAATATCACTGGGCATGGTGTTGCATACCTTCAATCCCAATGTTTAGGAGGCAGAAGCCAGCCTGGTCTATATAGTGAGTTCCAGGCCAGTCAAGGCTATAATAGTGAGATCCTGTCTCAAAAATAAATAGAAAATAATAACTATTAAAAATTTTTCCACAGAGAAACCCTGTCTCGAAAAACCAAAAAAAAAAAATTTAAATAATGGCTATTACTCAAAAGTATCCACCCCTGACACTGCCCCCCAAAAACCCTGAGTTCTACCAGGGTAAGGGCATGTTAGTTGTTGTGATATCCCCATAGCACCAGGCACTTGGCAAACGCTCATTTAATATGCTTCAGTAAAAATAGAAGAATGAACTAATGCAAGACTAGCAGAACTTTCTGGAAAATGTTCCAAATCCTGAAAACTAACCCAAATATGTATTTTCAGTGGTATAAAAGGCTTCATGAAGTAATGCCAGGCTATAGAGGAACTAGGATTCAGGTAACAACTTAGGCTTTTTTTTTTTTCTTTTTTTCAGAGAAAGGATTTCTCAGTAGCTATGGAGCCTGTCATGGAACTCTCTCTCTCTGTAGACCAGACTGGCCTTGAACTCACAGAGATCCACCTGCCTCTGCCTTCTGAGTGCTGGAATTAAAGGCATATGCCACCACCGCCCAGCAAGTCCTTTTATTTCATTCAAATTTTAAACCTACTAATTTTAGCATCTATACTCTTGTCATTTAAAACATCAATAATATAGGCCTGAAGTAACTCATGACTTTAATCCCAGCACTCAGGGGCAGAAGCAGGTCAATCTCTTTGAATTTGAAGCCAGCCTGGTCAACATAAACAGTTCCAGAACAGCCAAGACCATATAGAGACCCTGTCTCAAAAAAAAAAAAAAAGACAATAGTAATATTGGTTTTTTACTGTTAAAAAATCAATTGTTGGAGTTGCAGCTGCATCTCATTCGGTAGGGTGCTTGCCTGGCATGTGTGAAGCCTGGGCCCCCCCACCGGCACTGCATAAACACGGTAAAGTGGTGTTTGCCTGTAATCCCAGCACGCAGGAAGCCCGGGCCCCCCCACCAGCACTGCATAAACACA